GCGGCCTTCGCTAGCTGCTTATGCGACCGTTTCGTCATATCACGGAAAGCAGCGTGGTTGGCCGAGGGTCCTAGATCCCAACGGGCGCACTGAATGAGCTCCTTCACTTCCTTCTCCAGTGCCTAAATACACAGCAGAGATTGCATCGACAAGGCTCGATTCCAATCCGAACTACTATAGAAACCCCTTTTCAACCGTCACATACGCAACGAATAGCCACTACTGTTCCCATACACCATTTGGGTACTCTCATTTCTCACCTTTCGGTGTATCTCCATCTGCTTGTCCACGTACGGCAACCATACCATAGCCATACCATGAAGATGCTGCAGCACGGGAACGTGAAGCAAATCGCCAACAGTCTTGATGATCACAACACGCTCCGAAAACTGCACCAAGGGAGAGGTGCGGAGGAATCTGAAAGAATAATACAGCTCTTGTGAGACCATGTGGCGGTGAACCACCTCATGCCAGTGTCGAACAGCTCCGCCTTCAGCTTGTCATCAGAGCCGTCGATCTTAGTGCTTTTCGCTGCTGACCATAGACGGGCGAACCAGCGTCCGCGAGCCTTAGAGCGCCAATACGCCTCCCGGGAAGCTCGGAGATCACGCCACGAGGCAATCTGAGATGATGTGGTCAAACATGTGAATAAAGCCATCACTGTCTGAAGCCTCATCCGAAATGCGACATCACGGTAAGAGAATGAGAACCCAGAATTCAGACTGTTGCGATCATCAGTCGGCCCAGTTGTGCCCGCCTACCTGCATTGCTCTGAAGGTCGCCACGGAGCGCCTCACACTGATCACAGCGCTCGCACCCGCCTTCAGGAGATGAGAAGGAACAGCTCGGACCAAAGCATCATAACGATCAAGACACTCCTCGAGCATGAGTAATGCGGACATGGGACTCGTCGAACCCAGAGTGCATGACTCTAGGAATTTCTTCACCGCACGCAGACAGGCGTCCACAGCGGGATGGCCCTCTGGGATGGCCCGATTGATGGACTCCAAATGGTTGAGGAGCAGAGTGAGGGGATGAACGAAGTGGCAATTGAGTAGGTCAAGCGCCCGACCATCAGCGGACTCCAAATAGAAGGACAGCTTCTCAGTCGCTCGAGCTCCTTTACGGTTGATAACATCTCGGAGACGAACCTGGCGAAGATGATTATGCACAGCAGATAGGGCCGGTCAAGAACCCCAAGAAGACAAGTGAAAATGAATCCAGGAAGGACATAGCAGTATAAGCTGCGGCAAAAAGCTCACCTTGAGTTCGCTCTCCCTCTTCAAGCGTCTTCTCTCTAGTGCCTCCAGCTCGTCCAGAGTCATCTCGCTTTCATCCTTCTCTACACCCTCATCGGCTTCCTCTACTTCCTTCTCCTCTTTCTCAACAGAAGGCATCAGCTCCTCTCCCGCGACCTTCCTATCAAGGTCCCTAGTCAGACGCCTCAGTCTACCCAACACCAGAGGTAGACCATCCTCATTAACCCACGGACCAACGATGGTATCAGCTGGAGCACAGGCCCTGCCTGTCAGCAGCTCATCGTCCTTCATGCTCTTCAATACATCTCCCCAGGCCTCCCCGAGGAGCTCGTCCATAAGACCTTCACCGTCAGCCGCACCATCCTCGTCCGTAACAGCGTGTACCAGCAGACCCGACAGGTTGTCCAATGCACGAAGGGCATCAGCACTAGTACCCAGCTTAGCGCGGGAGGAGGCAATATCGTCATCCTCATCAACTATTTCGGCGGACTCTCCAGGAGCCCCGATGTCAGCGAGAACATCGTCACTCTCCAGTTGGCGTATGACTCTGCTATGGGATGCATCCTCGAACAGCTTCACGTTGTATTCTTGCTGCAACTTCTCCAGATCATTGTCATCTTCGTTCGTCAGCTCTCTCATCCGCTCAATGAAGGTCACCTCATTCTGTCTTATCATGCCTTCATCTTTGCTAAGTGCCTCTTCCTCTTCTAAGCGCTCGAACTCCGAAACCAGGGCATCCACGTGCTCCACAGCGGTGCATCGGCCGTCGTCAACTCGACCTGTTTGACAACGGGCAACGCCGAAGGAACGGAGTGCCAGCGAAGCGATAGTGGGATCATAGGCAGCATCATCAGACTCCTCAGCGGCGAGAGAACTCGTCCGTAGAGGGAGATGGACCCTGACAAAAACGCGTCATGAACAACCAGACTGGAAACTGAACGAGAATGATGAACAACTCGCCTGAGCTTGTTCCGAGCTACTGTCACGATTCTCAAGGAGGATGGCGTTTACTCGGCTCACCTGCCCAGAGTATCCCTGACATGCAAAGCTTCCTTCCCCTTGTCCCTCCTCAAGGCGATAGCGGCGACACCCGAAGCCATCGCCAGGCAGTCTAACGCCAGCGGACGAGTAATATCAGAATGAGCCGGGAAAGAAGTCCTGCATGTAAAAATGACCAACAATCATTGACCACGTAATCTTCTCACGTTAAGGTCTCAGCAACGCTCGCAGCGCTCTGGACCATCACCATGGCCTCGTCAAGCTCTAGTCCCTCCTTGCGCCACCGACAGCTGTCATCAGATATCAAAGGCACCACAACTGATTGCACGAAGCCTTGGACGATAGTCCGCAACTCCTATCAGCCAACCAATGAGGCACAACATCTTCATAACCAGAATGACTCACTCTATAGTTAGCTTCTTCCCTATTGATATCAGCGAGCCCGCTGGTTTCCCAAACAGATTCATCAACCGTCTCAGGCCGACTCTCGGGGATCTCTCGGACACACAGAGTGTTTTCTACTGCAGATACACTCTTAGTCAGCTTCTCGAGCGCTCGACGAAGAGATGCAATACCTGAGGGGAGAACCAATCAAAGAATCAACAATATGAACTCTGAATGATTGGTGATGGGCACGGCACGTTTCAATACTGATGTCCCGAGACTCCAGTAGTGACACTTCCTATCTTCGTGATTCGGCCCAAGTTCACCGATGATTGACGATACCCCGGAACTCACCATCAGCTCCCACGGCAGCCAAATCGAGGCAACGTTGTCTTATGTTGAGCTCACTCTCCTGGTCTCTGATGAACCGATTAACGTTGATGCACCAAGCTGATCGAGACTCTGTGGGGTCCGTCTCAAGATGCAAGATCTGACAAGAGAAATGCTAGCGAAGACTCTTCAACGGCGAGCTTACTCCTGCACCAAGGACGAGGTGCCACGCTGCGGCCATAGCTAGCCTCGCGTAGGAATCAGTCTCCTCATTCAAAGCCTGGCTGCATATTTGAGCTATAGGGA